AAATGATAGCTTAAATTTTGAAATATAAATGTCAATTTATAGGCATGAAAATTATGATTTCTTCCTCCACAAGTCATAATATTGCCACCCCAATTGGATAAAGCTAAGATCATTTCAATAAAGCACTACATCAGCTTTGGCATGCTTTGTTTTTATCATTAAAAAAATTCTCCACAAATTGATTAATAATTAGAGTACACCAAAAATTGCATACGACCTACGAAGACGACCAATATTATGTCGTCCTAGCATTTGACAGCTTCCATGTTTTTCTCTTACGTAAACATGACAAGAAACCATAGAACATTGACAAGCTCAAGTTTTTCTTTTTAGTTTTTTTAGAACAATTATAATTTATTTTGAATGTCAACAGAAGAGAAACAAGTGTTTTTTTTTTGTGTGTGTAAGACATCATTATCAAGAAAAAAAAGAAAATGTAAGTCTTTGTGAAGTGATTTTAGTCTTCAAATGATTTTGAATTTTATATTTTGCGTCCATAATGTAACAAAATTTTCTTATATACATTGACTTCTAATCATGAAACTACTCCCCTACCAAGCACCTGACTTTGACTGAGGGAACCAAAATGGAAAAATGAAATATTTTAAAACAGGTTGAGTGTAAAAATAAATTAGCTAATCGAAGGCAACCCACCAAAATTTCTTGTATGAAATTAAATAGGGTTTTTGATTCATTCGATATCCTTAACTGTGAAGATATTACCATAAATCATCAGCTCAAACACGGACTTATTGATTGAGAAGCAAATTTTATTAGACTCGTGCTTGTTAAACATTATTGTAAACTAAGGATGCTAACAAACACCCACTAACATGAAAGTACAGGAGGGGTGAATTATGGTCTATTAAAAAAATTAGTCGATTAACGATGATTTTAGTTGACTAGATCGAGAGCAGAAGTAAAATAACAGTAAACAGAAAGAGAATGACACACATCAATTTTATACTGGTTCGGTACGGGTGTGGTACTTATATCCAGTTTCCCTTGGGTCACAAGGTTTCCTTTTAGATCTTGAAAGTATTACAACATGGATGATTTTGATTCATTCACCACCAACGAAGTATAGCAACAGTGAATCTCTAATAATGTCACAACTCTCTTTTGTGTTCTAACTCTTCCTATCTTTTGAGATACTGATAAACTTCAGATTACAGTGTTTAGGCTAAGAAGTAGAGAGACTTAGAAAACAATGTGTGTAGTTGCGCGAGTCTTCCAATTGATCTTAGCAGTCTTCTTATAGGAGAGGAAAAGAGCCGTTGTGTCTTGACCAGAAATAGAGGCACGGGATCTTTAAAAGGATTTGACCCAAGGGGTGCCTTTGCGAATCCTGCTCTTTGGGAAGGGCCGGATTCGATCGTGACTTTCCTTGTCACAACTTTCATTTACGAGACAATCAACCCTTTGACTGAGCTTTAATTAAGGATACTGAATATGAAAATAACTTCTTGATTGGTAATCTGATTTCCTTGATTGAGGCCGAGTAGATTTGCAGGCTTTTGATTCCTTCTTCAGGTCCATTGATTTAGCAATCACATCTTTAGATAACTTCTCATTGCTTTTCTTTCCTTTTGATGATTCCTACGAAATAGATTAATTGAACATTATCATCATTGAAACCTTGAAAATTAACTTAACAATCTCCCCCTTTTTGATGATGACAATCAAGAGAGAATAAACATTAATTATGAAAATAAACATTAATTATTTCCCTTTTTATTTCACTTCCTAGGTTACTCCCCCTGACTTGATGCTTGCTCCCCATGAGAGGTTAAATTCCCTTGACTTGATGTTTGCTCCCCCTGAGAAGTTGAATTACTTCTCAACCTGTTTACTTCTCTTACCTGTTCTCCCCCTTTGACATCAATCAAAAAGGGAAAGAAAACAACACAAGCAAAAGTAATATAGGAAGTAATATACATAATAACTAGCTAGATAGAGCAGCAAACGTAATGCCTTCAGCAGAGGCATAGATTTTACATACCCAAGCAAAAGAAAGTTTATAAGGACTACCAGCAAGCAAGCAAAACACAAGAAAAGAGAAAATATTATTTTTGAACCCATCACACGAATACACATTAGTTTCTTCCCAGGAAGTACTTAAGGGTGTTGATCACTTTGGTGCAGAAGGAGTCATAGGAATTCTTGACATTCTTGACAAGCTTATCCATCTTTTTAGTCATAGAATTGAAAGACCTGGCTCCTTGTCTCCGCGTAGCTCCTATATCCATTCCGAGCTTAGCCACATCTGTACCTGTCTCCTTAGTGACTTCCCTGATTTTATCCACCTGTTTCTTCATCTCAACCACTAGCTGTTTCACCTCATCCAAATATTTCAGCGTTTGCAGAAGATTTTGAGAGATAGTCGGCTGAGATGCTGGTTGTTCAGTTTGAACTTCAACTGGCACCGGAATACTGTCAACTTTGGCGCGTTTAACCCATCTATCATCACCCAAGGTGTACCCCATCATTGAAAAAGTTGTCTTATCATAAGTGCTGGTAATGTGCTTGGGTGTAAAGGGTGCCAAATCTACCTTCATAACTTCGAGGAAGTGTGAGGTGAGCAGACCATATGGTAAACAAGCAGCAGAGGAAGATATGTCCCTATTACTTTCAAGCATGTATTGGCGAATCCACACAAACCAATCCAGTCTTTTATTATTAACAAGACAGTAAAGGACAAAAATATCTCTAGTTGATAAAAGAGCTAAGGGACCCAGGAGTAAAGTGGTAGCAATCATGTGGGCCAAGACACAATGTTCAAACTTTAGGTTTTTGGGGCCAATATCAGGGGGGTTATCAGATAAAAAGACTTTGGCTTCTTCAAAGGATACTTCAAAATCTTTTGGCCAAGAATTTTGCACAAAAACATCAAACCCTCTGAACTTAGCAGAGAAAATCTTTTCAAATTGATAAGAGTCCAGAACAATTCTAGTGCCTAACACCATAGATTCCAGGTCATCTTTGTCATTCACAAAAAGGTTTGCATAAAACATCCTCACAGGTTCCTCATAGACAGAGTTACCAACAGTGTTGAACAGAGATGAAAGATGCTGAAAATCAAATATAGAGGTCACATCACAGTGCAAAATTTTCATGAGAGAAAGACTTACAGAGCGTCCATAAGCCATAGATTTTGACTTGTAGGACTCAAATCTTGCTTTTTCACTCGGGCCATAAAAGATCAACTGGTCCTCAGGTCCGAATTCAGTGTTCTCTACCTTTCCTTTCTTACATGCAGCCTTGGGGGTTTGCTCCATAGGCCTTTTTCCTGCCTTTTTCTGACTGATGGGAGGATTTTTGGAGGATTCACTACTTTCATTGTCCGTTTTGAGAAAATCTGAGTCAATAGACGACTCCAAATCTATAGGTTCTTCAGGGTTGAGGGGTTTTTGAAACCTTCGGCTTCGTCTGGTTACAGTGGAGGAGGAGGGATTTCTTTTGGCCATGGTGAGAGGGTTTGTTTGATAAGAATAAAGAGAGTAACAGAGATGGGAGGGGTTTTATCGATGCTTTTGGAGTAATGAAGGGTCGTCTTGGTTAAAGAAAAAGGCGGGTTCAAAAGGAAGTGATGCTTCTGAAGTGACTGATCGGCGGCACTGATGAAGAAGCAATTATTACACCGATACAAAAATCAATTAAGCCACACATACTTAAGGAAATAAAATATTTTAAAACACGGTAAAAAAGATTTGATTTACAAATTTTGCAAAATGCCAATCTTTTTCCCGAGAAAATAAAATCTTTCTTCCAAAAGTGGTTTTGTAAAAATATTGGCAAGTTGAGAATCAGTGCTAATAAATTCTAATACAATATCACCTTTAGCGACATGATTACGGGTAAAATGATGCTTAATTTCTATATGCTTTGCTCTAGAATGATGCACAAAATTTTTGATAAGCAAATAGCACTGGTATTATCACAAATAGGAGTAGAGGTAAGAGATAAATCATAGTTGAGAAGTTTATGCATAATCCATAGAACTTGTGTACAACAGCTTCCGACAGCTAAATATTCTGCTTCAGTCTTTGATAGGGAAACACAATTTTATTTCTTGCTATGCCAAGACACTAATGCATTTCCCAAGAGTTGACACGTGCCACTAGTGCTTTTTCTATCAATCTTGTCACCTGCAAAATCTGCATCCGATAAACCTTTTAAGGAAAAATTGTTAGAATGATCATACCATAATCCTAGATCAGAAGTACCAACAAGATATCTAATACTCCTTCCGTTCCAATTTATGTGAACCTGTTTGACTGGGCACGGAGTTTAAGAAAAAATGAAGACTTTTGAAATTTGTGGTCCTAAACAAGCCAAAAATAGGCCCAGAGTATTTGTGTGGTTATAAAAGCTTCTAACTAAGGATAGAGTTGTAAGTTTAAGATAAATTGTTACCAAATTTAGAAAGGGATCATTCTTTTTGGAACAGACCAAAAAGGAAATAGGTTCACATAAACTGGAACAGAGGGAGTAATTCATTTAGCAACAGTGAGATGGGATTTCTTAGAAGCTGACTGAAATCTTGCACACTTGCATACACTGAACATAATATCTGGTCGACTAGCAGTGAGATACAATAGGGATCCAATCATCCCTCTACATGGTTTTATCAACCTTTTTTCCATTGTTGTTTTCATCGAGCATTGTTGTTGGACTCATTGGAGTGCCGATTGACTTTGCATTTTCCATTCCAAGCTTTTTGATAAGCTCCTTAGTGTACTTGGTTAGGCTAATGAAAATTCCTTTAGGAGACTATTTGATTTGAAGTCCGAGAAAGAATGTCAGTTCTCCCATCATGCTCATTTCGAATTCTCCTTTCACGGAAAGAGCAAAATCTTCACATAAAGCAGAGTTAGAGCTACAAAAAATAATGACATCAACATAAATTTGAGTAATAAGATTACCTGAACTAGAATGCTTAATAAAAAGGGTTGTATCGATATTACCTCTTTTGAACCCTTGATTTAGGAGAAAAGAACTTAACCTTTCATATCAGGTACGCGGAGCTTGTTTGGACCATACAAAGCTTTGGTCAGCTTGTATACATGATCAGGAAAGGTGATGTTTGCAAATCCTGGTGGTTGTTTTCCATATAGTTCTTCAGAGATGTAGCCATTTAGGAACGCACTTTTAACGTCCATTTGAAATAACTTGAAGCCTTTGTGAGTAGCAAAAGCAAGTAATATTTGAATGGATTCAAGTCTTGCTACATGAGTAAAGGTTTCGTCATAGTCGATTCCTTGTTGCTGAGAGTATCCTTGAGCAACCAATCTTGCTTTATTTCGAACCACTTGACCAGATTTATTCAATTTGTTTCTGAATACCCATTTAGTTCCAATGATTGAGGAGTTTGAAGGCCTTGGAACCAATTCCCTTACTTTGTTTCTTTCAAATTGATCTAGTTCCTTTTTCATAGAACTTATCCAGTGAGCATCTTTCAAAGCTTCATCCACTTTCTTTGGCTCAAGTTGAGAAATAAGAGCCACATGAGATTTGCTCTTCTGAGATCTTCTTATAGTGATTCCTTCCTGTGGATCTCCTATATTAAATTTGTGAGGATAGCCAGGTTCGCTTTTCCATTCATTTGGAGTGTTTGAGGGAGGATCTCTTTCTACATTAGTCGACTGATCTGTTTGAGATGGTTCGTGAATTTCTACAGACTCTTCAACTGGTTGAGTTTGCTGATCAACTGACTCACTTTGATGATCCTTTCCTGTAATGACAGATTTAGGGACAAAAGGAATTTCCTCATCTTCAGGAAGTTTTTCACTCCTTGGACGAGGGTTAGTATCAACAAAAACAACATGAGTTGATTCTTCAATGCAGAGTGTTCTTTTATTAAAAACTCTATATGCTCTACTTGAAGGAGAGTAACCAAGAAATATACCTTCATCACTTTTAGGATCGAACTTACCCAAATTATCCTTTCCATTGTTGTGAATGAAACATTTGCATCCAAAAGGATGAAAATAGCTAATATTGGGTTTCTTACCATTCCACAATTCATACGGTGTCTTTTTGAGACTTGGTCGAATCAGACACCTATTGATAATATGACATGTTGTGCTTACCGCTTCTGCCCAGAAATGATGAGGTAGGAAATTTTCCACAATCATGGTTCTTGACATGTTCTGTAGGGTTCTATTTTTACGCTCTACCACTCCATTTTATTGCGGAGATCTTGGTGAAGAGAAGTTGTGAGAGATCCCTTGATCTTTGCAAAAGTTTTCAAAAGCTCTGCTTTCAAATTCTCCTCCATGATCACTTCTGATAGAAGAGATGTAGCAATCCTTTTCTCATTGAACCTTCTTACAGAAAACTTCAAAATTCTTTAGAGCATCATCTTTATGACTCAAAAACATAAACCAGGTAAATCTAGAGAAATCATCCACAATGACAAAAGCATATTTTCTACCACCTATGCTAGCAGTTCTAGTTGGACCAAATAAATCCAAATGCAATAGTTGGAGAGCTTTTGAGGTGGAAACAAAATTCTTGATTTTGAAAGATGAGCGAGTTTGTTTTCCTAGTTGACATGCATCACAAATATGATCCTTTAAAAATCTAGTTTTGGAAGACCAATGACGAGATCATGTTTAGAAAGCTTTTGAATAGTATGTATGCTGGCATGATCAAGTTTTCTATGCCAGACCCAGGGATCATCAACTATAGAAGCAAGACAAATTTGATCCCCAAGATTATCTAGGTTGCTAATAGTATAGACATTTCTATCTCTATTACCTGAAAGAGTGACTTTATCTGATTCATCTTCTATGAACCAACCATGTTTCTTAAAATGAACCTCGTAGTCATTGTCACATAATTGACTAATGCTGAGAAGATTGTAGCCGAGTTCATCAACCAGGTAGACTTTATCTACATCACATGTTGAGCTTAGAGGAACTTTTCCAACACCAATTACATTTCCTTTGGATTTGTCTCCAAATGTGACTGTTCCCCATCTAGTTTGCTGACTGTCTTGAACAATTGTTTGTCACCAGTTATATGTCTGGAACACGTGCTGTCGTGATACCATTTTCTTTTTCGATTCTTCTTGCGGTGTTCCTCACTAGTTCCCTCTTCTGCCATGAGACCAAGTTGACTTCTTCATTTATTCCTCTGTTTCTTGAGAACCCACGCTCTCCTGATTTTTCATTGCTATCATCTTCTATGGCCATGAAGCACATATTTGCAATTTCTTCATGATCAGACTCATCTTCATCACTCCAGGCTCCAAAAGACTTATTCCTTTGAAGATTCCTGCTCAGCTTCTTCTTTAGTTCTGGACAGTCAGCTTGAATGTGTCCATGTTTACCACATTCGTAGCATCTTCCATCATTTTCATTGTTTATCCTTCCCTTTCTGAAGTTTGGTTTACCTCTTCAGCTATTTCTGTTTTTCTTCATCATGCTAGTTACAACTTGAGAAAGCATAGCTATATTTTCATCCTGTTCTCCTCCTTCATTTTCTTCTTCATCCTCTAGTTCAGCCACAGTTGCTTTGAAGGCGACTGTTTTCTTCTTTTCTTGTTGAATCTGTCTATCCAAGTGAGTTTTCTCAAAAGCTATTAGATCACCACTTAGTTCATCATAGGACATTTTATCAAGATCCTAACATTCGAGTGCGATGACCTTTGGCTGCCAAATCGTAGGTAGACTTCTGAGAATTTTTCTGACCTGTCCTCCGCCTTTTATTGTTCTACCAAAGGATTTCAGATCTCCAAGAATTTTGCTGAACCTGGAGAACATTTCTTCAGCAGATTCTCCGTCCTTCATTTGAAATAGCTCATACTCACGGACCAATATATTTATCCTCGTTTCATTTACCTTGTTGGTCCGTTCATATGTGACTTCTAATTTGTCCCATATCTCCTTAGCAGTTTCACAACTTGAGATCTTTTCATATTCTTCACCATTGATAGCATTGTACAATTGATTTTTTGCTTTGGCATTCACAGTTATGACAACAACTTGCTCATCAGTGTAGTAATCTAAGTCAAGTGGATCAATGGATACAATTACTTGACCATTTTCGTCTTTCCTTGGGGAATTGGAAGATTTTCCTTTTTGATCACTCGCCAGACTTTGATGTCATAAGATATGGTGTATGTTTCCATACGCACTTTCCAATGAGAGAAGTGTTGTCCACTGAAGTATGGTGGTCGAACTTGAGAAGTTCCCTCTTGAAATAGTGCACCAACGACTGTGTTTGATCCCATGTCTTTTCCTCACTAGCTGTTAAGCAAAGTTTGTGAGCCTTGCTCTGATACCAATTGAAAGTACAAGATCGAGAGCATAAGTAAAATAACAGTAAACAGAAAGAGAATGACACACATCTTTTATACTGGTTCGGTACCGGTGTGGTACTTATATCCAATTTTCCTTAGGTCACAAGGGTTCCTTTTAGATCTTGAAAATATTACAACAGGGATGGTTTTGATTCGTTCACCACCAACGAAGTATAGCAACAATGAATCTCTAATAATGACACAACTCTCTTTTGTGTTCTAACTCTTCCTATCTTTTGAGACACTGATAAACTTCAATTACAGTGTTTAGGCTAAGAAGTAGAGAGACTTAGAAAACAATGTGTGTAGTGGCGCGAGTCTTCCAATTGATCTTAGCAGCCTTCTTATAGGAGAGGAAAATAGCCGTTGAGTCTTTACTATAAATAGAGGCACGAGATCTTTAAAAGGATTTGACCCAAGGGGTGCCTCTTTGAATCCTGCTCTTTGGGAAGGGCCGGATTCGACCGTGACTTTACTTGTCACCGCTTTCATTTACGAGACAATCAACCCTTTGACTGAGCTTTAATTAAGGATACTGAATATGGTAATAACTTCTTGATTGGTAATCTGATTTTCTTGATTGAGGCCGAGTAGATCTGCAGGCTTTTGATTCCTTCTTCAGGTCCATTGATTTAGCAATCACATCTTTAGATAGCTTCTCATTGCTTTTCTTTCCTTTTGATGATTCCTGCGAAATAGATTAATTGAACATTATCATCATTGAAATCTTGAAATTTAACTTAACATGACAAAGTTAAAATCTAGGGCGGGTTCTAGTAGTCCAACAAAAATTATTGTGTGCGACTCAAATTATGTATACATATGCAAAATTAAATATATATATATATATATATATATATA